CGAACACAAGCAACCTGCATGATCATCATATGTGCCCTATGATTCATTGGGCTTATTTTGTCAGCCAGTGCTCTAATTACATTGCTAGGTTACAAGCTGATTGCATGCACAGTTTAAAAAAACAAGGCACTAAAATATGTTTAATGCAGTAGATGGAACTGTTTCTATTATTTATGCCTAGAGGGAAATAGCAAATATACAGCTTAAATCTATGTTAAGGCTACCGTAACTCTAGCAATCCAATGTATTTGCACTCTGTGCTTCCAGCTCAACTCAATAATATTTTTCTTGATTCCATGTGTATTCTGCCCTTCCCCCAGCAATGTCCTCACAAGATCTGATAGCAGCATGCACCTTAGTGACATTCAGTTGAGATTACTGCAATGACCTCCACATGGGGATAACTTGTTTAAAGGATGCTCAGAAAGCTAGTCCAAAATGTGTCAGTAAGGATGCTGGTGGGTACTCTCCCATGAGCTAGCAGTTCAACAATGGTGAAACAGCTTCACTAGTTGCCAACTTGTTTCCAGGCACAATTCCTAGTGTTGGCTTGGGTACAGGATACTGGAGGGAGCCCCTCCACATGTTCCAGAGCACCTGCTCTCTCAGGTCTGCTTGGGAGGCCCTTTTCTGTGTCCCACCCCTGGCTGAGGCACCCAAGCTGAGCAAGAGAAGAGAGAAACCTTCATGGTATCTGCACCCTGACTCTGGAATGCCTGCAGTTGTGAGGTTTGTTGACCCACTGTTCTTATTTTCCCCTTCAGACAATACCTTCGTTGCTTATTTTGATATGATGGACTCCCACATAATTTGGGTGTCCACCACATCTGCCAAGCCTGTATCCATTTTGAGGGTCTTTTCAGATTCTTCTGTGGAATTGTTTTGTTTTTAAATGCTGTAGGCCAGCCTGATTGAGAGGTATAAATGCATTGCAAGGACAGGTTCTAGATTTAACAAACAAACAAACAAACAAACAAACAAACAAAATCACCCTATGACTTAAGTTAGCAAAGAGAAAGAGAGCCCGTGAGCATGCACGCATGTGAGCAAGCATGTCCTCAAGGACCCTGGTCCAAGCCCAGCACATCACCAACTACATTATCCTGTTGCCAGTAGATTAAGTATCCATGTACCTTGGTCTTTCCACCAATGGTGTCCTCCAGATATGCTGGACTACAACTTCCATCATCCCAATTGTTTTAACTGGAAATGACTGAAACTATGCTTTAGCATTTAACTCATGCCTTACCCTGATAAACTAGGCAAGGTTCTGATACATGTTGTATTACTTGACTAAAGAAAGTTTTTTTTAACTGTCCAATGAACTTTTCATGATTAACTGCCACAGCTTCACCTCAAGAGCCATTGCAGTGGTGTGGGCAATAGGGATGCTACTGGAAATACATTCTCAGCAAGTAAGCATACTGAAATCAAAGAGAGACTTCCTCTGTAGCATATGCTACACAGTCTTTAAGAAAAACTATGTATTTGCATTTTTCAAAACATGCTATTTTTTCCTAATGAAGGCAAATGTGATTTGTTTTTTTCAGAACAGGAGTCAGCTCCTCAAGGGACAATGCAAAAGTAATTGTGTGATTTTTAGACCAGGCCAATAAAATCCCACTACATTTTAACTTAAAGAAAGCACAGACATTTGGGGATAGTTATCATATATTTCCTTTGCAGTGCTATAAATATGTTTTTCCACATAGTAAAACAAAAAGCAAGCAAAATAGAACTAGCTTCTTCCTTGGATTGGCTCCTAGTTCAATGCATTTCTTAAAGAGGACAAATGATATTCTAATATAATCTTAAGAACTTTTTCCTACTTTCAGTCTTTGTTTTGAAACTATATAATAGTATTAGAAACATAAGCAGCAAGTATTTAATACTGGCAGCTTATGACAACAATCTGTTAAATATTCTCATTTTTGAAGGAACGAAGATACACACAAAGAAGTAAGTTCCACTTACCTGAATAATATTCAATCCTATTGAAAAGATACTAAATAATAACTCATTTTAAAAATCAAGTTAAAAGTTCACCCTTATCAAATGTGAATAAAACCCAAATGCCATGAGCTGAATTCCTAATTAAGCTGTCAGAATGTGCTGGCAGACTGCAACAGAGAATTAGATATAACTAGCAGCTGCCAAACTGATCTCAGAGAAGAAACACATGCCTTTTTCCCAGCACACTTCCATCTAATAAATTAGTCGAATGAAATAGACCACCTTAGTTAGACTTAAGTCTTATTCATTTCTGCAATCTACTGTAAGCAGGGCTAAAATTCAAGACAATGCATTGCTTCATAGTTTCTATTCTATAAACAAAGTCATTTATCAGCATACTAAAAATATGAACATGCCAATTCTAATACAAATGCAGAGTAGTAATGGACTATTCTGGAAACGAACTTGAGTCTGCAGCAGCAGTTAACAAAACTAAGCTTAGTTGGAAACCAAATGCTCTTTCAAATATCTTACATCATTTTCCAGAGAACATCCACAGCTATATAACCTACCCTGGCCTCACTACTATGTCCAAATCGACATACAAACCAGACAGTTCAAATAGAATTTCTTGAGCAATGACCCTTTTCACCACTATAGAATGTGGCTCCAGCAATGGCTGAATACAGGAGCGTGATCAAAACCTATCAGCTTCAATAGAAGACACAACATGGAAATAAATTGGATTACTAAATTCCCCCTTCCCAGAAAGGGTAGAAGCTAGGTAGGATAACATAAGCAGGAACTATAGGTGCACTTCTACACATAGATTTAGCATGGAATTCTCATGCTCTGTTCATTCGCTTTTTATGAGGCATCCACACAACACTGTCATCCAATTACTGGTACAACATTACATCCCTGTGGTTCTTCCCTCTTTACTCAGGTGTGAGGAGGTTTGCACTTTTGCATAAAAACAGAAGAGAAGCACATTCTGCAGCTGAGTCCTAGGTGGAGCTTTGGGACCTCAGGCTTAAAAGCCTCAGTCTCAGGCACAGAGTTCCTGGAAGATGTCTGCTCATCAGGCCCTGTTTATGTAGTTCCTGACTGCCTGGCTCCTCTATTTGATATCCTTGGCCTGTCTTCTGGCCTACCTTTGGATTTGACCTCGCCTGGCTATCTTGCTCTCTGCCTGGACCCTGCTAGCTCAGGCCTTCTGACCATGCCTTGAAACCAAACTTTTGCTGAGGGTGGCTTGCCCACCTGCTGGACCCTGGCTGAACAGGACAAAATCTCTCTTGCACACAGAGGGAGATCAAAAATGAAACACAGCAGTGTCTAAAACTGGCAACCACAGAGGTTACAAAGGAAATATGCTCATGGCACCATCTGTGCAGCCTTGTCACACTCACGTAGTAGGAACATATACACAGCTAAAGCACAACAGGCCAAGCAGGGACAAAAGAAAGGTATGCGGTAGAAAGCAATATACTGTTTATTGATCTACCAAAAAAAACCCCAGCCCTGTAGAAAATAATTGGAAAAATGACACTGGGTTGGATCCAGATTTAGCCATGCTTAGAACAGACCCATTGAAATCACAGGGACAAGTAGGCATGGCTAAATTACATCCCCTTTATTTCCATAAAAAGTATTTATTACATTTATTTCATTAACCACAATTAACACAAAGTATATATAGAAGTACATAGGCAATGCTGGAAAATGGCAATTAATCTAGTGCATCCAAACAAACCAATGGTATTCTTTACGAAAGTATAGAAAATTATGCTCTCTATTCTTCCAAAGATGTACCCTGCCATCTGAATTTACCAAAGAGTGTTGTGTAAGGGTTCATACCTATCCAGAATTTACCAAAAAAGATAAAGACAACAACAAACAGCCCAGGTCCTTTATGCTTCTTTTTTCCATTTTCTTTCTTAAAGACAGAATGTGGGCCTATGCAGAGATCCATAAGGCTTCAAAAGCATGGTTACATTCATCTCACTGGATAATGGGATTTTATGGACAACTCCAAGCATCTCGGTCAGCCCGCAACGAATGTATAGAAAGCTGAATGTTTTGGCACAAATTATCAGACTCCATCACTATTACCTAGGAGCAAAACTGCCTTTCAGACCCCAAATCCTGATAGGAGCGCCTTACCAAAGGCATGCTGGCCTAGGAAGCACTGACTAGGAAGGGGACCACGGCAATGCCCCCTCCCAAGCACATTCCCCCTTCCTTCACTAGCTGATGCCCTCCAGCACCAAAGAGGGCAGGACACCTGGGGTACACCTTCAACATCATCCCCTTCTGACCCTCAGCATGGTGCTGTCAGTGGCATGTGCCCTCAGAGTGCAAAGGTCAAGGGTCTCCCATGTTCCCCCTAAGGAAGGGCCACGATAACAGGGCGTGCAAAATTGTACACAGCAGGCTGCTAAGTCAACAGTGCAGGGCACTTCATATAACCCACACTTTCATAAACCGCCGCCACCAGGTGCTCCTTGTTTTAAGCGCCGCTATTCTTAACGAATACTTTCAGGGACAACTCCAACTCGTAACTCTAACCAGGAGGTAGCTGCCCCACGTCCGCTGTCCATCTCGAGTATCCAGCGGGGGCGGACAACCTAGGCAACGCAGGCAGGAAAGCCCGGGCAACCGCTGCTGCCTCCTGACCTCTCGCTCCGTCCCCGCCGGAGAGCCCCACGGGTGACGGCACCCCTGCGAGCGCGAGGTGCTTCTGTCGCAGCAGGGGCGCAGCTGCGGAGCAGGCGCGCGGGTTCCTTGGCACCGAAGCGCCTTCCCGCACCCCGGAACTTAGTTTGCCCTTCTCGCCGCATCTGCTGCCGCTGCTGGCTGTCACTCCACGCCCTTCCGAAGGCGCAGGCGATCCAGACGCCCGGGCAGCCCTTTCACGCCCCTCTCCTGACGCCGTGGGGCAGTTTCTGGGCGCAGCGGCGATGCCCGGTACCCCTCCCTCCTTCCCTATCCGGGAAGGCTCGGCTCGGCTCAGCCCAGCCCAGCCCTCTCTCGCACTCCCTTACCCGGGGCCCAATCCAGGAGAAAAGCAGCAACAGGAGCAGCGGAACGGGCCGCCTGAAGAGCCCTCCACTCCGGGCCAGCCGCTCCCTCGCCCCGCGATCGCGATGGAGTGCCATGACCCACCGCCGGGGCCCGTCGCAACGCACGGCACAACCCCTGTCCGGCCGGCTCGGTGGCCCTGACTGCAGCGTGTCCGGCCCTTCCTCCTCCGGGGGCGGAGCCGAGCCTCCGCGTCAGCCGCAGTCACTCAGTAGGAGGGAAGCCGAGCGCGGGCGGAGGCGGGAGAGTTTCGCAGGGAAGAGGCCTGCGGTCGTGCGAGCTGGCGCTACGGGAGCGCGGCTCGAGGGGGACATGTGTGTGTTCCACGCTGTCCTTGACACCCGCGGTTTTATAAACAGAGGAGGCTGATCCCCGCGGCGAGGGCCGTCCCCGGGAGGCTCTCCGCCTCTTCTCTGTTGGCAAGGGGCCGCGCTGGAAAGGCGTTCGTCCAACTCGGGACGCCGCGGTGCCCCGGCGGGCCTGCCCCGAGCTGCGCGCAAGGCAGCCACGCCAGGCGACACACGCCGCGCTCGCCCGCGCCCGCGACGAGCCAAGCCCCCTCGGCACTTCGCCAAGAGTTCGGGGTGGGCGAGCGCGGCCCCTTCAGGCTGCAGCTGACAGCTGCCACAAGCTCTCTTCGTACACAAAGCTGAAAGGGGAACGGTGGTCAGGGAGAGCCGAAGGCTTTCCAATGACACTATCGTTGTCTGGATGCGGGGAATAGTCCAATAGTCGTACCAGTTAGAAGGACAAAATGTCGGTGGCAGCGGGCAGAGTACATAGGAAAAGTGATTATTAATTACTTCAAATGCAAAAATCTTGGGTGCCAAAGTCTCCTAGGTAGTTGCTTAGGATCTTTAACAGCCTGAGGCTGTGTGGAGTCAGGCTTGTGTAACCCACTGAAATCAGTGAATTTAGGGACAACTCATTGCATAGGGTCGCAATCCTGCGCCTTTACCCAAATGAAAGACCTTTGAACACAGTGGGACTTACTCCTGAGTAAACATGTAGCGGCTCCAACAAAGATCACCCTTTTCTTCAGCATTCTCTGCAATTGCAAGTCAGTGTGACCCAGCCAATGTCTGGTTGGAATTTGACTGGGGAGGTGCACATCCATCAACCTCTGGCCTTGGCAAGTGACTTGTAGCTGCTTCCCACACTCATTTTCCAATATGCAGAAACAATCTCCATGGAAAATGGCGTGGGAAAACATTGCTATTAGCATGTGTTCAATACAGCGATAGTCTTCAACGTTCATGTGCCATGCCATGCTTTGATTTATAGAACACCTAGTAATACATCAAAATAAGCCACGGACTGTGTCTTCCCAACTTACACAGGAAAGAGGGATGGAAGGAAAAGGCAGAGAAAGGAGATCAATATGATAGCGCCAGAGCAAAAAGGTTAATTGTTAACAGGCATATAAACCTTGTTGGGTCCATCAACAAGTGTGCTTCTTACTGGGTTAAAAAGGATGCCACTATCCAGTGGTTAGTCTTCTGTCATCACTCCTGATATGGGGTGGTCTGAATGTTTTACTCTCTGGCTGGTTAGAGCCAATTTTGCCCATATATCTCTGGTTCTAAGCCAAACCATGGGAAACCAAACTTATAAATGCCACCTCCAAGGAAGAGAAATAATAGCTGGTACTCACAAATACAATAGTGCACGATCATTTTCAGTCAAGTGGCACATGCCAGGTATGAATGGGCACCACGTGCATAACGCAGCTCTCACTCATAAGTTCTTCGTCATGGCCTCTGTGCATCACACATATGGGTTCTGCGCCTGCGCAATGCCTTTGGCCAGAAGATTAACAGCTAACGGTTTTTGGCGGGAAACTCCACTCTCCCTCCCCCCTAGTATTATATAAGGAGCAGACTGTCCGCCATTTTCCAGTCTTTGCAACCGCCGTTCGTTGTGCCTCATGCCGCTTTGCTCTCCCTTAGATCATTATTTACCTCTCACTTGTTGAAAAACTTCCCTTTTTTCTTACCAAGTTAGTATTCCCTTTTTCGTGTTACTGTTAGTATTTTCACTTAGTTCTTGCTTTCACTTTTCTCTCTTGTTCCTAAACAAAAAAACCCCCAAAAATATTACTTTCCCGCTTTACTATCTCCTTTTCTTCTACTTCTACGATGGCACAACAGGCGGCGTTCCGCAAGTGCGGGAAGTGCGGCTCCAAAATGCCCGCCGTGTACCCGCATGACCTGTGCCTCCTTTGCCTGGGGGAAGGGCACAAGACAGATAAACGCGGCCACTGCTTGGCCTTCTCCAAACAGGCGAGGAAGAATCGGGAGAACCGCCTCCGCAAGCTCTTGTGGGACCAGGCTCTCCTCCAATCGGACCGGCTGGTGACTAAGCCTCCCACCACTCCCACAACTGCAGCTCCACCAGAAGGCCATCCAACTTCGGCTGATCTGCCGCAGTGCCTGGCCATTTCCTCCATTGCTCCGCCCTCATGCCCTTCTGAAGAAAGTGCTTCTAGTATGGCCGATCAGCCCGTTTCCCTACGAAGGAAACAAAAGGAGAAGAGGAAGCACAGTGACCCGGAAAAGCATCCTGTGCATAAGAAGGCCAAAAAGGATAAGGCTGGCAAGCCAGTTAAGAAACCGAGGAATCCCGAGCATACAAAGCATCGCCACTCGGATTCGGCAACCTCCTCGATCCCGACTCCGGCCACGGAACCGACCCCCTCGGTCCCAACCTTCCAGGCAGCTATGAGGGTCACTCCACCAGGCTCACCACGCCAACCGGCAGCCAAACTCCTTCAGGACCCACGGCGTGGTTCGATCTCGGATGCTGAAATAAGGGATTCTCCACCGAGAGCTTGGTCGCCAACACCAATGCCGCCCGTCCCTCTGGATACCAACATTGCCATCTCTCCTCTGAGAAGCCGTAGGAGCCATTCTTTGGATGCCGGATCCGATGACTGGTACCAATCCCGATACTCCTCCGCTCCAAGACGGGAAGAGTACCAATCCGTGGCCTATTATCCGGTTTCCAGAGGACGATCCTCGCCGCCAGCTCCTCGGGATCGTTTTCATTCTACACCCAGAGATGCCCCGAGGGCTCCATCTAGAGAGAGCGGCAGATCAGGGTCACCAGGAGAATCCTCTTCCAGTGCCCCACCTCCTTACTGGATGGAATCAGACAAATCCAAGGTTGACTCAACTTCACCAGATGCAGCGGTTACTTCGCAAGGCCCAGGGTCACCTGAAGAACCGTACATCTCCTTCACGCAGTTAATGGCCAGGCTGGTGAAGTCGCTCGACATCGAAGCCCACCAACAACCGGGACCGAGCACTGACCGTTTTTATGATGTGGTCAGGGGCGAACAATCCACCTCCATCGCCTTACCGTTTATAACAACTCTACAGCAGGCAATTACTCAACCATGGGACCTCCCAGCCCATCCACAACCGACTTCACGTAAATATGAGTCCATGTATCGGGTTCAGGAGGGGCACATTCCGTTCCTCCTCCGCCACCCCAAGCCGAACTCGGTTGTTGTGGAATCTTCTCAGGGCCGGGAAGCACGTGGACACACCTCGCCTCGCGATAAGGAGGGAAGAAAAGTTGACTCCCTTGCGCGCCAGGTATACGCGGCTTCTGGCCTCGGATTACGAATTTCAAATTATGAGGCGACCTTGGCATGCTATCAATATTTCCTTATGCAGTGCCTAGACACTATCATTGACACCTTCCCAGGCAACCAGGGCGAGCTGGCGAAAACCTTTCTTAAGGAAGCTATGCAAGTGGCAGTGCAACAACTTTCTACAGCCAGGCACCATGTTGATACTGATTCAAGGTAGCTCGTCAGTGCCATTTCTCTCCGCAGACACTCCTGGTTGCGTAATTGCAGTTTTCCAGAAGAAATGAAGCGGAGAATTGAGGAGATGCCGTTCAACGGATCCGGTCTCTTCAGTGAGAAGACGGATAGCAAACTAAAAAAGATCCACGAATCCAGAATGACGGCCCGTCATATGGAGCTGCAATCCCAGCCTTGCCATAAGTGGTCATGGTCCCGCCCGCAATACCGCCAACAATACCAGCCTCGGCAACAACAACCACACCAACATCAGCAACACTGCAGACAACAACCGTCCCAGCACTTCCAGCAGGGCCGCTGCCGCTTTGATGCAGATAGGTGTCAGTGCTGATGGGGTGAGCGAGCCTTTCCTCTTCTCCCAACTTCACCCTCCCCTCTCTCATTTGGAGACCAGCTGAAAAGTTGGCTCCCCACTTGGGAGTCCATTACATCTGATGGGTGGGCATTATCCATCATTCAGCATGGATATAGAATTGAATTCAACGTTGTTCCATCACCGAATCTTATCCGGTTTACACCAACCTCGTTGGTACTGTTGGACGAGATTCACCAACTCCTTGCTAAAGGAGCTGTTTGTCGCTTATCGTTATCGGAAGGACTCCACGGATTCTATTCCAGATATTTTATGGTCCTGAAATGAGATGGGGGGTCTCTGACCCATATTGGACTTGAGAGCTCTCAATAGATTCATAACACCAAAGAAGTTTCAGATGACCACGCTCCAAAATATCCTTCCATTGTTAGGGAGGGGGGATTGGTTCGCTTCGCTGGATTTGAAGGATGCCTATTTTCATATTTCGATACATCCACGTCATAGGCGCTTCCTTCATTTTGCGGTAGCCTCTGAAATCTATGAATTCAAGGTGTTACCGTTTGGATTAGCCACTGCACCAAGAGTTTTTATGAAGTGTATGGCTCCTGTCTGCGCACACCTTCAACTACGTGGAATTCGGAAATACCCGTATCTTGATGACTGGTTGTTGGTTTCCGAGACTAAAGCAGGACTTTTGTCTGCTGTTGATATTACTTGTGCTCTATTACAAGACCTTGGACTCTGCATTAATCAACAGAAGTCTTCTCTTCTCCCTACACAGACGATCAACTTTATCGGAGCCCAGCTGGATTCTACGGTGACAAGAGCCTTTCTTCCTCAAGACAGGCAACATCGCTCTGCGCATCTCTCGGATTCGACGAGAAAGGACTGTTCCTGCCCGATCTATCCAGAGCCTGTTGGGACACATGGCTGCATCCATCGCCGTGGTTCCGCATGCCAAACTCAGACTACACCCTCTTCAATTATTCTTCAATG